TCGGAAGAAGTGGAGAGGAACCACTGTAGGATTCAGTGTCACCGGACACCACATCCATCGGCCCTGTCGTCACCTCACGTTTGCCATTTGGGAGGCCCTGGTAGGGAGGAGGGGCTGGGCGGCGTGGGAGAGGAGCCTTCCGGGGGTGCGGGGAGGGGGGACAGCAGCTTCGCCCAGGCCCGAGAAGAGAGGAGGCCGGATGAGCAGTGTGGAGAGAGGGCAGAGGAGGCTGGAGGTGGGCAGGAAGGGGCCTGAGGCCACGGTCAGGAATTCCAAGGGTGACAACGGGGAGCCACTGTGAGGTGACATAGCCGGGGGTGGAGGGGTCAGGTGGGTGCCGTTGAAGTCCACACGGCCCTGGGCGAGAAGGGATAGAAGACAACCGAGCCAGATGGGACAGCATGTGACCCAGGGGCCTGTTCCATTGTGTCACCTGCCCCCTCCCTCTGAACCCCCAGACGCTCCTCCCCAGCAGGTGCCCAATGCATCCTTCTGAGGCTGAGCTTGAGGGATAAGTGGAGACTTTGAGTCTCCATCTGCTGAACCCACATGCCAGTCTCTAGGCAGGCACCCCGGAGCCAGCTCAGGGAAAGGGGTGCGGCGACGGTCAGCCACAGCCCCACCTGTCCCCTGTGAGGTGCCCGGGATTGGATTTCTGAAGCCTCGCCAGCCCTGAGAACCGCCCTGCTCCCCGGGGCCAGGGACCCTCTCCACCCACCTGCCGCTGCTGCTCGGATCGAATCCATTGACTCCCCGTCTCTCAGCCCCTTCCCTAAAACGCGAAAGATGTGATGATTTCAATGATTTACTTATTTCAGTCAATAGGGTCGTGTTAGAAGTGATTTCCCTTAATAATTCAGGCTCTCTAAAGAACAATGGAAATACTATAAGATGAATTGAGCCACTGTAGAGAGGAGGCCCGAAGCACAGGGCTGGGGTCTCTAAATTACCTACCCAGCCGGGTGGTTCTCTAGGGCACAGGCCAGGCCTCCTGGATTCAGCTGTAGGTGGGGAGTATTGGTAGAGAATCTTTACCACATGGAGTCGCATTGAAAACAAAGTGGCCCTGACCTTCCGGGAGGCCACGGTCTAGGGCTGGGGGCTGGGGCGTGTAGAGCAAGGCCTCACAGCGCTGCAGCATGATTTTGGCTTCATAGAAAGAGGACTAGACGATGTTAGGAGCAGAGTGGAGGTGAGTGGGGGAGGTGAATGCACACCAGGCAGAAGTTATTTGATGCTTAAATATAATTTACAAATCACTCCTTTTTTTTATGTGCTGTTTTTTTGTAGGGGGGGGGCGCGTACAAAGGAAGCCCTCACGGAATTAAAACAAAAGATTTTTGCGGGCTATACTCTGATCATAATCTAATGACATTAAAACAAATAATAAAGAGATATCCACGCTGGAAATACTCTGTATCCTGGCTATAGCAATGCTTACCCTGGTGGACACGTTGGTTAAAGCTCGCTGGGCGGGGTACTTAAGACAGGGGCATTGTACTGGAAGGCTTCCTTTCCCAAATAACTCCTGGATCAAAGCAGAAATCAAAACTAAAGTGAAATTTGTAGAAAATGGTGAAAGGGAGAAGAGTTCGTATCTGAACCGGGGACACAGCTAAGCTGGGCTTGGAAGAAAATGCGTGGTCCTAAATGCCTGCATTATTCCAGAAGAAGGAGTGCCGGTAAAGGCAGTTAGCTCTTTAAAAATGGCGGGGAGGGCGCCTGGGTGGCTCAGTCGGTTAAGCGTCTGACATCGGCTCAGGTCATGATCTTGCTGTGGGTTCGAGCCCCGCGTCGGGCTCTGTGCCGACGGCTCGGAGCCGGGAGCCCGCTTCGGATTCTGTGTCTCCCTCTCTCTCTCTGCCCCTCCCCTGCTCGCACTCTGTCTCTCTCTCTCTCAAAAAATAAATAAAATAAAAATTTTTTTTGAAAAATCATAAAAATAGGGGGGAAAGAGCAACAAAATAAACCAGGACAAAGCAGGGGAGAGGGGACTAATAAGGATAAGGGCCCAAATCCAAAACGCACACGGTCAGCGTCTAGACGATGAGTTTTCAGAGGAGCTAGGGAAGTAGGAATGCAGGTTAGGAAATGCGGTTTTCCATTACAGGAGCCGGAAGGTTCTTGTGCAGGAGAGCGGTGCACCGGGAGCTGGGTGCGGTGGCTCTGACCCCAGCATGGCGAGCAGCTAGAGGCACGGAAACTAGGGGCTGACCTCCTCCTCCGCCTGGGCTCTAAGTACTTCCTCAACTTTTCTGAACCGTCCCAGAGGGTTTGGGTGCTAGCTCCGCCCTGCCTCTGGGATACGCAGGCCGGGGATGAGAGCTTGAGAGGGTGGACGAATCTCCTTAAAGTCCCATCCCAACCAAAGACATCCGAGGTCTGGTAGGGCCCGTGATGAGCTTGTACGCCGTCTGGAGTGGTTGGGACAAGACTGTCTGGATTCCCCATGATGGGAAGGAGGAAGGAGAACTCCACGGGGAGCTCCGGCATGGGAGACGCCAGCCCAGCCAGGTCCTTGGAAGACCCTGCCGGTCCAGCTGCCCTAATTGGGATGTGACACGGTGGCTGAAGGCAGGAGGTGAGCCCAGAACTAGAGCTTGGAGAAGCGAGGGCCAGAGAGGATCCCCTAGAGAAAGGGGACCGGGGGCCCCTGGCAGGTGGTGGCTCACCTATAAAAAATGTCTTTGTGTTCCTCAGTCCAAATCCCCCTGGGAGTAAAAATATATGAAAAACTTTTTACTTTTATTTTATTTTACATTTATTTATTCTGGAGAGGGGAGGGGCAGAGAGACAGGGAGGCACAGAATCGGAAGCAGGCTCCAGGCTCCGAGCTGTCGGCACAGAGCCCGACGTGGGGCTCGACCCCGCGAACCGTGAGATCACGACCTGAGCCAAAGTCGGACGCTCAACCGACTGAGCCACCCAGGTGCCCCTGGAGTAAAAATATATTGGAGTATAACCTCCATAAGAAAAGGGCCCAGATCACAAACGCAAACTTGATGAACCATTGCAAGGTGACGAATGCACACCAGTACCCAGCCCCAGATGGAGACACGGCATGGCCAGTAAACCCAGGTCGTATGCATATAGTCTCCGAGCGGCACCTTAATCCTCTGGACCCCAGAGAGCCTCGGCCCCTCCCATCCGTTCTGCTTGGGTGCTCAAGGTGTAGTTTTACACGCTGTATTTCCTGAAAGGAGACCTTTTTTTAATTGCTTCTTATTGTTTTTATTATTTCAGAGAGAGAGCATGAGCGGGGGAGAGGGACAGAGGGAGAGAGCCAGAGAGAGAGGGAGAGAGAGAATCTCATCTCAAACAGGCTCCACGCTACCACGGGGCCCGCCGCGGGGTTCAATCCCACGACCCTGGGATCATGACCTGAGCCCAAATCAAGAGTTGGGTGCTCAACCGCCTGAGCCACCCAGGTGCCCTGTGTTTTTAGGTTTTAATTTCATCTTGATTCTACCCAGCTGGGCAGGAAATACTCCAAACCATGGAATGTGGGGCAGGAAATCTGGAAGGGATGGACTTACTTGTTTTAACCACCGGAGGAAAAGCCACCCGGGAAGTTGGCCGGAGTAGGCAGGAGCTCAGCTCTCGTGAGCGAGAGGGCCAGGCGGCCAACAGTGGGGACGTAGGACACACACGACACCCTGGGATGGCCGCTGTGGCCTGAGCGCTGCTTCCTGGAAGGCACGAACTGGCTAGGACTCACGGGAGGGTGTCATCAGGGCTCAAGGGACAGGTCTGAGCTGGCCCTACAGTTCACGTGTCAGAGAAGCTCCCACCACAAGAGCAAGTAAGCTCCAGTCGCCATTGTCCCAGCTCCGCCCCCGGTGCACTTTGCCCCAGTAAGGAAATACATTATGGTTTCTGAAGGCAACTGCTTTGTCTTCCTCCCCTGTGAACAGCCGAGCAAAGAATTAATTTGGAGTTTTGCAATGTCGGGGCCTCTCTCATTAGATTACTCCCACTGTCTCTTGGGAGCCCTGGTAACTTGCTTTAATGATCTCACATCCTTGAAAACTGCTTCATGTGTCTCCCTGCACCAGCAAATCTTCAATCTTTTGGCCGCCCGAGGTTCCTTGTCCTTGGCCTGCGCCCCGAGGACTCGTTCCCTCCCCGTCCCTGTCCTCGACCCTGTTCTCGGCTCCCCGTCTTCCCCCACCCCTAGCCGTATCTTCTGTTGTCTCTGCACCCCTTTGCTCGCCGAATCTCCGTGTTCTCTTCTCCTACTAAAAATTCTACCCAACCATACTTGTTTGAACAAAAACAAACAAACAACAACAACACGGAAACGACGATGATCCCTATGTTTTTATCAAAAGTCATTGCCCGAGGGTTTACGTTTGGTGGGATGGGAGGGGCAGGCAGTGAGGGATGGTGGGGCCCGCCGTGGCCCGTGCAGTTGGAAGTAATGGTGCTTAGCCACTTCCTTCTCAGCCACAAGCGTGGAAGAAGGGGACCTTTCCCTCCAGGAGAGAAGTGCACACACCCTCTTAGTCTGCAGAACTCAGGTGAAGCAAGAAGTTTGTTCACTTCAAAGTGAAGACAAAGTTCTATACGAAGAACGCCGCCGTGGGGTGGACTGTATTGCATCCCAAACCCCCAGAGACTCCGACTCATGCGAATGTCTGTTTTGTTCCCCTGGGTCTCTGCTCTCCTTGTATTCAAAGCTGCAGGAAAGCCAAGGGGCAACAGCGTTGGGACGGGGGAAGGGCAAAGCTCAAGGTGACCTTGGGATCAAGCTCTGAAAAGCCCCGCCCCCCTCCTGGGTCAGGCCTGGGGCCGAGGCTGGGACAGAAGATGGAATCTTGTCTTGCTAGGCTCAGCGGGGAGGTGGGCTGGACGTTTCCAGATTGTTGCAGGAGGCGGTACGTGCTTGATCACAGGCTCGGCGGGTTTGGCACAAGGGCTACGTTCAGAGATACAGGAAGGTAAACCAGGTTAGGGCCATGTATCGGTCACCTGTTGCCGTGTAACAAATACCTACTCCCACCCCACCCCAAGTTTAGTAGCTTCAAGCAACACACATCTGCTACCTTGCATGGTTTTTGAGGGTCAGGATTCTGGGAGCAGCTAGCTGGGGTTTCTGGCTCAGGATCTCCAGGAGGCTGCGGGGAAGTCGTGCCCTGGGGCTGCAGTCTTCACAGGCTGGCAGGAGATGGAGAAGACTCACTCACGTGGCTGTCGGCAGAGGCTTCACTCCTTCACCACACGGGCCTCTGTGCCACGTGGCTTCAGAGAGAGACAGGTGGAGAGACAGAGACACAGAGAGACAGGGAGAGAAGCTGAAGCCTTTAATCACCTAATGTTGGAAGTGACACTTGGTCATACACACCAAATATGGGCAGGGACAGCGGGGGGCGGGGGTGGGGGGACCGTTGGAAGCTAGTACGACAGGCCGGACGTCTCTCTCTTGCTCAGGAAGTATTTATTAAGCCCCCTGCCAGGAGCCAAGCCGCACTGTGCTCTCTGGGGATTCAACAGGAAACAAAACAGACAAGGTCTCTGCCTCAGGGAGTTTGCGTTTTAGAAGAGAGGCAGATAAGATACAAATAAATACGAGCCCCAGCCGTCCAGGACCTGTGGGGCAAGAGGAGGGACAGCCGCGAACCTGGACATCGGGTTGGACTGCAGCCGGGGCCGCAGGACCGGCAGGAGGTGTGGGTGTTGTTGAGGATTGCCACAGCCCAGCACGGAGGAGGCGAGACATCCACGTCCCAGCTCTCTCTGATCCTGTCCTCAACTTCTGGCCAGTGCTCACCGGGCAGAATCCAGGGGGAGCTGAGGACAGGGAGCCTGCATGAGGTCGGCATCCCGGGGCACAGAGCAAGTGGAGAAGGGCGGAGGACCGGCGTGGCCAAGTGGGAATGTAATTGGCATGCGGGATAGAAGGAGAGTGAATGAGCGAGGGGGGACATCCCAGGCAATCAGAGAAAGCCACTCTGTGAAGTCACAGCTGAGCTAAGACACAGGGAACAGGGACATCTGGGGGACATCCCAGTGAGGGCACCTGAGGGCGTGTGAATGTGCGCAAGGGAGCAGGTGCTCCTGAGAGGAGTGAGCGTGAGAAGCGAGGCCAGGGATAAAGTCAGAAAGTTAGGAAGATTCTGGACCAAGAGCAGGGCCCTGTGGGCCATGGTGAGGAGCTTAGGTTTGCCTCAGGGGTGGCTGGAGCCACTGGGGAGGGATGCGGTCCAGCGGAGGTTTGAAGGGGTCCGTGTGGCTGCCATGTGCCATGTGGCCTGTAGCGGGCGAGATGGAGACAGGGGGCCGGTGAGGGGGTTCCACACAATCCCGGGGAGAGATGAGGACCCCAGGTCCAGGGTGGGACTGCGGAGGTGGGAGGAGAGGTCGGGTTGAGGATGTATTTTGAAAGGAGAGCAGGTTGGATTTGTTGATCAGTTGAAAATGACGTGAAAGGGAGAAAGGAGTCAAGAACAAATCCAAGGTCATGGTGCATAGATCCTGCGAAGATGTGCTCAGAATACTAGAATTTATTAACTATGATTTACAATTAAGACTACATTGGCGGAGGGGCACCTGGGTGGCTCAGTGGGTTGAGCGACCGACTTCGGCTCAGGTCACGATCTCGTGGTCCGTGAGTTTGAACCCCGCGTCGGGCTCTGTGCTGACAGCTCAGAGCCTGGAGCCTGCTTTGGATTCTGTGTCTCCCCCCCTCTCTCTACACCTCCCCGGCTTGTGCCCTGTCTCTCTCTCTCTCTCTCTCAAAAATAAAATAAAAAAAAACGTAAAAGAGTACGTTGGTGGATACTCTAAGGCGTTCTTTAGAATGTTCTAATGTGGAAAACAAAGTTCAGCAAGGTGGGAGCTCTGAGGCTCACCCCTCGACACATAAAATGTGTACTTTAATATGCAACATGTATCATTAAAGCTGTCCCATGGTGACTGGTGTGGTGGGAAATGACCGGACCGTCTGCTGCAAACCCGAAGGGTGTCCGTGCCAGTGGGGGCGATGGGGTGTTAACACAGGAAGGTGCAGCGCATTGGGCTGAGTGAACCACGTGGTCATGTGGTGCCCCCCCCCCCCCGCCCGGTAAACAATGGGAGGAGGAGTCTCGGGTCCCACCAGCTCCGTGCTGGGTGCAATGACAGCATCCAGACCACTGTGGGCTCCCTGGGGAAGTGGGGCCACACTGGGCAGAGTGGCTCAGGTGTGCCTGTCCCAGTGAGCATGCAGCTGAGCCATGTGTGAGAGAAGGGAGGTCAAAAGATGGCTTGCGGGGAGCCGACAGGTGGCCTGGGCTGGGTGGGCAAGATGGAGGTCGAGGGAGGGGATCCTGGACAAAGGCCCAGGAAGACTTGAGGGTCTGGAGCCCCTTTTATCCATTAAGGCCCCTTGGCTGCCGTGACAGACGCCTAACTCAACACAGAGAGGTAGGGGCGGCCCTGTGGGGTGTCCTTAGGCCCAGGGAGGGCTGTGACCAGGCACAGAAAGGGCCCTTCCACAGCCGGAGCTGTGGGGTAGCCTGGTCCAGGTGCTGCCTTTGGAATTCATGACACAAGCACCCTCTGTCTTTGGACTTGAAGGACAAGGAACCACAGAGCCCTCATAACCTCCTCATGTCGCACACGAGGATCGGGAGGCCCAGGAGGCCATTCGGGGTGCCCAAAGTCACGGGGTCAGCAAGTGGCAGAGGGAGGGTGTGCCTGTAAGCCCACAGACACCCAGACTTGGGATTTTTCTACTGCAACAGCCTTTCCCTAACTTCAGGCATCCCTGAGCTACTTTTGTGACCGTTATCATTTGCCTTATACTATCTCTTCTGTTAGTTAAATTTTTCCTTTAAATCTACTTACTTGAATTTTCTTTCTTTCTTCTTTCTTTCTTTCTTTCTTTCTTTCTTTCTTTCTTTCAAGAGAGCATGAGCAGGGGAGGGGCAGAAGGAGAGAGAGAATCCTAAGCAGCCTCCATGCCCAGTGCAGAGTTTCACAGCAGGGCTCCGTGAGATCACGCCCTGAGCTGAAATCATGAATGAGTCAGATGCTTAACTGACTGAGCCACCCAGGTGCCCCTATTTACTTGAGCTTTTTATTCATCAGTGTATGGCTAGTTTTATTTTGGGCCGATACGCACCAAATACTCTTTGCTCTGAGAATAAGCAACATTCATCTGAGAAGGATCCAGATAGTCTTTGGAGGTGGATATGCTGCGTTTTGGGAAACCCTGTATCATCATCAGGGTGCTTTTCTCACAGGAGGATAATGCAAACTGAATATGCTCAGGTCTGAGAGGTTGGGTGGGGGCGGGGGGGGGCTGGATGGGGAGGGCTTTTCCTCTGAGGGAGTTGGGAGCCCTGGAAGTGTGGATAAAGGTGGGGGGTCGTGATCGGACCAAAGTCCTGGCAGGATCCCTCCCACGGCAGTGGGGAGGATAGACTATAGAGGCAAAGTCATAAGCAGGGAGGCCTGGGAGGCCTGTGCTAGTCCGAGCCAGATGCTGTTCATGGAGGTGGTGAGAGCAGGTCTACGCATATTTTGTAGGCTATGATTTTCACCTTGTCCCGTGTCCTGAGTCACAGACGCCCATTCTCAGAGCCTAAGTGAGTTTGGGGGTTGGGGACCACTGGGCCCCTGTGGGTGGCGGGTCAGGGTGTTGGTAACCCCTCCACCCCAGGGCAGACCATGGGGCCGGGCACCCACTGGGCATAGTCCCCAGGGCACAGGGCAGGTGTGTGTGTGTGTGTGTGTGTGTGTGTGTGTGTGTGTG